CGCCCCGCCGCACCGTCGCCGCTCGCTTTCCCTTATCTCAGTGGGCGGCGGCGCGGGGCGGCGAGCGGCACGAATCGAAAACTCCTCCTAAGTGATTCAAGGCTCCTCCGGGGTGAACGGGCGCCCATATTAACGGGAGGGAGAAGAGCGGTGTTACCCAAGGGTAGGAAGAAGGGCTTTCTTGCCGCGTGCGGCCATGGGTAAAGCATATGGATATAATAGGAGTGTGGATATAATTTGGAGTGTATAGGGGAGGGTTTTCGAAGACATATTTCTTTAACTCGATGTTGGCTAAGCCATCGAAAGCTCTTTTGAATTAAAAAACATTGTTGGCAATGACAACATCTTTAATTATTTTAACTCGAAAGCCCAATTACGTGAAACGGTAGCGCCCCCCCCCCCGCCATTTGTGAGTTACAACGGAAGCTTCGTTCACTGGAATATTGTCTTCGAGCGCCAATGACCGATTTTCAACATCAGTTAATGAACTATTTCACGAGATCTGCCTATCGAGTTGAGGCGTTTTGCACTGAATGATGGACTTCACTCCAGGAAGAACGAGTAATATTTGACAAATTTTGGAGATGGTGTCAATTGAAATCTACACGCCCAGACATTTCAAAGTAGGTACCACTCTTTGTTTAATTTTTCTTGATAACAATGACACATTAGGTGAATCTGTACCTTCCTTTTTATCTTCAAAATCTATTAGCATAATCTTCTTCTTCTTGTTTCAATTTGTCTGGGACTGTTTTAGTGCTATTACATTCAGTGCGACTTGCAATGAATTGCAATGATTGTGATTTGCAATTCAGTTCGCTACAGCAAAAACTCATATTTAATTCGTATGTACAGATAATCCCTTAATAAATAAATTGTCGGAAACTTTAAGGTTTGGTTTGGTGGAGAAAAATGCCCAGTTAAGAGTACAGAAACAGCGAATCCGCAACTTTGTGAGTAATTTGTTTTAACCGCAATAAGAAGCCGAGCATTAAACCCCCGTAACTTATCTTACTGATGTAAGCTTTCTCAGCACTACCGGTCTGTTTTTAGTTTCTCATTAAATTTGATGTTGTAGGAACTATTATGTGATGTACTCATTGGAAAAGATTGAGAATGTCCTCCACTCAAGACTGTATGGACCTACAAGGTAAGTTCAGACTACATATTTACATTTTTTAATAGGCTTCCATCCCAGTGAAATTGTTTTGTCAAAATTGTACGAGTAATACAGAAGGTCTAAGGTAGACAATTTGTTAAGAAAAGAAATATCGGTCTTAGTGTTTTAATTGAAATCTCTCAATTACTTAAATATAATGAGTAATGAATGGTACGCAGTTCATACGTACATTATAAAAATAATAATACCCGTACAGCTTCCTGGCACTGTTTCATTCTCTATCGGAATATGCATTGGGTGGAATGCATTGGCCTAGATTTTTAGAGACTTCTTAGAAACTGGGTTATGTCACATGTTCATAATTCAGAATGGGGGAATTCCATGAATGAACATATCTGCGGAAACACGAAACATAACACTTGTGACGCATGCCCAAGATTTGTATGATTGCCGAAGTTCGTCGAATTCGCTCGTCCACCACGTTGGCCTAGAACCGGTTTCTAATTCGGGTTCTCGCGAAGGCGAGGTCGTTGCGCTAGCTGCTCTTACTGCGTTTTCTGTCTGGACATCATAATGGCATTACGGTTCTTCAAGGTAAGACCACACATCACGGCGCTTCATCTGGTAGAAGTAAATAAATTATAAGTATGCGTTGATTTATTGTGAAGAGAAAATTTATTTCCTATGCTACAAATAGTTCTTAAAATACTCTTATAGTTCAACATTGCAGTGTTTGCTGTTAATTGTCCAACTGAAGCGAAATGCTGATTTCGACTACTCGGTCATTTTCTCAGTCTGTTAATTTGTTTGTTATGCAGTCACGATCTAACGTGGAGTTAGACCTTTTTCAAATTTGGCATAAATATTCTTTGAAGTTTTTAAAAAACGACTTAGTATGTATCAAGATTTTTATTTTTTTCATTCATTTCAAGGTAGAGGTCGTTTTAATGAAATTTAGCTTTTCTCCAACGATTCTAGCCACACGGAATTGGATTGTTTGACATTTAGTCATATAGTAGTAATTTTGTTCATTACGCATTACGTCTTGAGCGTAGTTAGTCTCAAGGTCTACTATTTACAGTACAACAGCTTTTTAAACAAGTGTTAAAATCTATTATTGCCAATTTCTATGTGACTAGTAATTTCGAAGAACACGCTTCCTCATTTGTGTTCGTATTAGGCATCGTAATGAATTTGATGCAGGTACAGAATCCCAAAATGAAGTTGTTTTAATGAATTTCTAATTGTTTTCATTCATTTTCTTTTCTTTGGAAAACGTAATTTATACACAATGACTTGTATTTTAACCTAAAGTATCCGATATGATAATCAGAGGGATTCTCGAATTTCTTATAAGTTAACTAACGAACCTTTTTTTATTATTTACAAAATAAGGAAAATTGTACAGATTGAATGGAACGTGACGTGAACGTGATTGACTGGTAATAAATTGAGATCAACTGAAGTCCGAGAGATGAAGTTTAGGTGCTGTCAGCAGACAGTTCTCTTGAGATTATTCCATATTCACGTTCCACAGTACTAGACCGATAAATGGGTGCCTCGATCACATAGAAGTTCTTCCCATGTATTCACTATGAAAATGGTTTATACTCCCTTACATAAACCATAATAATGGCAGTCTAACGCTAGCATTTTCTAGCATGACCCTAATTTCAAATTTTGGTTAACACTTGACGATATTTTCTCTGATAAATTAAAATTTCCGACTTTTCCCCACTAGTTATTGAAACTTCCCAAAGCTGTAATATATACATAGTTTGAATTCATTTTAAATGCAATAGTAGAATGCTAATAATAAATTAATTTTCAGAAGGCATAGAATGATTAATATGATTTTATGCAAGATGAATATTTTGCATAATGGCTTTTTCAAATTGCTTCCAGGTTGTTAGAGTAGTATACGATTTCCTAGGAGACTTAGAATCATCCCTTTAGTGAAATGAATGGCAAAGAGAAGCCAAATGATAGTCTTTACAGTAGGGGCATGACGCCTGTCATGATTCTTACTCGCTTGAATACCCATAGAAAAGGTTCCGCTGTCGCACTAAAGCATGTTCATGCGTCTTCCTCCTCCTTCATTGTTTTCAGAAATAGTGTACATTTTCTCAGAAACAACTACGGAAGCTGATCTTTAACGTGTCATTACGGTCTTTTTACGAGCCGCAGCAACTGCGGAGGGTGCGTGCACTCACGATATCTCAACCGCCAGCGGTCGTCTTTTGTTTTACAACAAAAGAACGTCTAAACGACGGCACGCAAAGAGCTTCCACTCGGGCCGGAGGCGGAGCGCGTCGACGGGAAGCGCGCACCCCTGGATTCAAGGGTTGCGGTGGTGGAGGGGGGGAGGGGGAGGGTAGGCGCGAAACGAGAGTTTAGTACGAGGAGCGTCGGCCGCCGCGGGCGCTACGAAGGGCTACAGCGAGCGTGTAATGGAGCAGCTTATTACGTATTCCGAACGCTGGTTATCCGTAGGGCTCGTCGGCTGCGTATATACACGCACTTCCGCCCAAGTTGTTTGGTATCGTACGCACTCGTCCGCGAAAGCAAAAAACGCGTGCTGATCCCTTGCAGAAAGCGCCAGTTTCGCCTCCCCCGACCTGGAGAACTCCCATTCTTTTTCCGCTATTTCCATTTTCATCAACTTGATCGTCGTCCTGTTTCCAAACTTTTCTTATTACCTCTTTTCATTCTCACTCGGTATCATCCACAACTTTCTCCCACACCACCTCTGTTAACTTCAATGGCTTCGCATATTTTGGCTCAAAATTCATTATAATTTTTTTCTTACTTTGCATAATCCGTTCAGTTTAACGTCTTTTCGCGTTACAGCACTTTTCAGTGAATTTTTATCCTTGACATTTTGCCCATTTTCAGATAACTTTTCTCCATCTTCCAGATCGGGATTTTGAACAATTTCGTACTCAAACGTTTTCCTTTTAAATACATACATTTTCCTTCATCAAATGGTATATATCGTGTCGTTTTTTCCTTTCTTTAATGCGACATGTGACCATCATCTTAGGGCGAAATTATAGTTCACATTGTTAATATATTCTGATACGTGTGAAGGCTTCTACTGATTCTTTTCAGCTCTACCTTACAGGGTGAACCATTTTATCAGCACTTCCATCATATTTCATGCAACTCAATTTGTGCTTTCTCTTTCCCAATTTTCAACCTTCCTATCTTTCAAGTCCTTATTTCTTCTGTTCTTTCTTTTCAGTTCCTTCTAATCTCGCGCTATTTTTGTTTTTTGTTTCTGAGAAAATTATTCCTGTGACTATATGTTGGATCTTCTAGCAAAATCTCGGCTACTTCAATTATCGCATTTATTTTTCCGTTATTTCAAATGCATTTAAAAACTCTTTTTACACAATATATTCTGACATCTTTTTCAGTCCTTCATAACATGTTGAAGACAGGTCTTAGAAATAATTCCCAGTGCCAGTTTTTACCCACCCTTTCTACTCACTTTCAATCTCATTCTGAATTCACCTCCTGCCCCTCGCCGTCCCACGTGTGCCCTCCCTCCGCCCCGTGCGGGCGCGCTTCCACCGCTCAGGTGGATTATGCAGCAGCTGCGCGGGCCGATAAGTGGCCGCCTCTGAGGACCCGGGGCGCTGCCATCGACCGACCGAGCGAATGCAGCGCGCAGCTTCGGAGGGTCAGGCCTCCCCGCGCCGGGATTGAGGGGGGGGGGGCACTTGAATTGATTGATAGATTATTTTGTTTCTGCCCGCGTCAACTGCTGTCAGTCTGCTTCAGGGCGCATCTGCGGCCGGTATGGTCATTATTCCCGGAAGTGTAGTACATGATTCATCCTGAGAGGTGGCGGTGCAGCTCCCCCTTCAGCTGAAACGCGATCTAGTGGTTCGCTGTGAAGTGAATCGACCTAAACGTCCACTTGCGGGGTCTCTCTCCGCTGTGTGTGAGTGCGCGCGCGCGTGTGCATGCGCGCGTGCACGCGTGCGTTCCGTGCGTTCCGCGCGTGCGTGCGTGTTTTGTGTGTGTGCATTAGGGGAGAGAAGGGACAATGAGCAAGGGAAGATCGCGCGCTGTTCCTCTTCAGTTTGTTCAGGTACTTATCCGGCATTCGCCTGGTATTGATCGGAGAAACGGAAAATTACTGATCAGAGCAAACGGTTTGAATTCCCCTCCAGTCAGCGTTCGAATTCGATCTAACTCTCTATCTCCTGTCGAATCCGCCATTGTGGTTACTGGACGGAGTTTCCTGCTGGTCGTGGTAGATTAGTCAGGGTCAACGAAAAGGAGATGCAAATTGTATTACTTAAGAAGAAAAATTTCATAGGGTTAATAGTGACAATAAATATGGGATTGTAAACTTCCTAGATGTTCACGAAGTAGCATTTTATATAGTTATTGTATAAAGTGATCGTGCAGACCAGAGTTTTCGCATTTTTATCCTCTTTTATATGGACCATCTTCTCAAGAGTCAAGTTTAAAACCAGAAAGGGAAATAAGCTGAGTAAATTGCATATGCTCTTTTTCTTTTTTTATGATCCTAATGTCAGATTGTAATAGAAAAATTCCATTTGAAGATAATCTTGGTAACACCTTTTCATATTCACAACTTGTACAATTTTCCTAAATCGCTCTAATGTAAATATTCAATGTTCACAACACTGGGCACTTCTTGTGGTAGACCTGTACTGTAGCTGGTGACTCACTTTCATACAGGATAACGTGAACTTCTTCCCGACAAAATTTTCAACCATCACCTGCTCTTATTTTTACCAATTATATAGATTTATTTCGTTTGTTTATTTCTTAGATTCTTAATGGTTAATCCATTGCACTTGCGTCCTCGGCAATTCTTACTATTAATGCACCAGGCGCGCGTTTGCGTGTGTAGTGGTAAGTCGATGCACGATGCTCTGCAGGCGCCATTGCCGCTGCCGCTCGCGCGGGCGGTTCAAGGCTCCCGCCGGTTCCCCTTGACCGCGATTTGCAAGGCGCCCCGCCGCCCCGCCCCGACCCTCACAGCGCTC